AGTGAATTTTAGTGAAATTTAAGATGTTGATAATTTTAGTATTGTGGATTAAATTAATGTCATTAACGTATTGTGCATGTTTATAGTTTAATAATATTAATTATTGGACGTTAGTTAATTTTAATGGAATTTTAGTGAATTTTAGTGAATTTTAGTGAAATTTTAGGCAATTAGTTAATTTTAAGGGATTTAGTTAATTTTAAGGGAACTTTAGGGAATTAGTTAATTTTAAGTGAATTTTAGTGAAATTTAAGGAAACTAGTTAATTTTAAGGGAATTTTAGGGAATTAGTTAATTTTAAGTGAATTTTAGTGAAATTTAAGGAAACTAGTTAATTTTAAGGGAATTAGTTAATTTTAAGGGGAATTTTAGGGAATTAGTTAATTTTAAGGGAATTTTAGTGAAATTTAGTGAAATTTAAGGAAATTAGTTAATTTTAAGGGAATTAGTTAATTTTAAGGGAATTTTAGGGAATTAGTTAATTTTAAGGAAATTTTAGTGAAATTTAGTGAAATTTATGGGAATTAGTTAATTTTAGGGAATTAGTTAATTTTAAGGGAATTTTAGTGAATTTTAGTGAAATTTAAGGAAACTAGTTAATTTTAAGGGAATTAGTTAATTTTAAGGGAATTTTAGGGAATTAGTTAATTTTAAGGGAATTTTAGTGAAATTTAGTGAAATTTAAGGAAATTAGTTAATTTTAAGGGAATTAGTTAATTTTAAGGGAATTTTAGGGAATTGGTTAATTTTAAGGAAATTTTAGTGAAATTTAGTGAAATTTAAGGGAATTAGTTAATTTTAGGGAATTAGTTAATTTTAAGGGAATTTTAGTGAATTTTAGTGAAATTTAAGGAAACTAGTTAATTTTAAGGGAATTAGTTAATTTTAAGGGAATTTTAGGGAATTAGTTAATTTTAAGGAAATTTTAGTGAATTTTAGTGAAATTTAAGTAAACTAGTTAATTTTACGGGAATTAGTTAATTTTAAGGGAATTTTAGGGATTTAGTTAATTTTAAGAGAATTTTAGTGAATTTTAGTGAAATTTAAGGAAACTAGTTAATTTTAAAGGAATTAGTTAATTTTAAGGGAATTTTAGGGAATTAGTTAATTTTAAGGAAATTTTAGTGAAATTTAAGTAAACTAGTTAATTTTACGGGAATTAGTTAATTTTAAGGGAATTTTAGGGAATTAGTTAATTTTAAGGGAATTTTAGTGAAATTTAGTGAAATTTAAGGAAATTAGTTAATTTTAAGGGAATTAGTTAATTTTAAGGGAATTTTAGGGAATTAGTTGATTTTAATATATTAATAATACTCCACATATAATATGTTGGTAATGTTTATAATTTAGAGTTTTTAACCTGTATAATTTTTTTATTATAATATTCAGGCATAATGTATAGACAAAATAGAATTTGGATGTATGATAAACATGCATAATGTATAAAAACTGCCTTTATTTAATTTTTTTTTTATAAATTTAAATATGAAAACCTATTTAAGATTTCAATCAAAATTTGATCTTCTATTATATTTACACAATTATTTGAAAATGTAAATTAATACTCCTCATTAATCAATTATTTTAGATGAGCAATGAACAATTCACATCCCGTGCTCGCCCGAACTATGCGCCCTTAACCCAAGCCGAGCGCAACAATGAAGATTCGGAATGGGTGACACCTCACATGGTTGCTAAGTAAGTAACTATGAACTTTATCTAATGTCAAATAATTTTATCTAATGTTAAATCATCTAACTATAAAAAATATTAATTTTTTGAAGCGATCAAGATGTGCTCAACCAAATCAAAATCATAATTGGTGGACACTTTCTTGGCAACTTGGCTACGTACACGGATGTTGACCCTAAGGTCCGTGAACTTTGGTGGAACTTGTTCAAGGTAAAAAAATCAATTTTTCGTCATTGATGTAACCTAAAATTTGACAAATGATAAGTTAATTTATTTTTCTAATAAAGGCCCGGTTACGCTGGACTGAAGAACAAGGCCCCGCTATTCTAAGGGCGTACAATGCCAGAGTTTCAAACTGGCTTCGTCCCACTTTTAAGCGTGCCCGAGCCAGTGAGGTAAGGCCTCAATGGTGTTTGGATGAGGTATGGGAAAACCTCGTCCGCCACTGGTCTTCGGATACGACTTTCTTGGCTAGAAGCGAAGCCGGGAAGAAAAATCGGATGTCCGAGAAGGCATTGATGACACAATGGCACGGAGGCCGCAAACCCCAGAGTAAACATAAAGAAGCTCTTGTAAGTCTTATTCAAATAAACCTACATCATTTTAATCTTTTATTTTTTTTACATTTATTTAAACCTTTTTCTAACCTTGTAGGCGGGGCCTCAAAAGAAGAGGGTCCCTATCCTCAGTGTAATCAAACACTGTTGGACGAAGAACGATGTTGAGTCGCCAGCCAATCTACCACCCCGCCTTGCTTAAATCGAAGTATGTTACATCCATACTATTATTTCAAATTGAAGTAAATATCATTTGAATAATTTTTTTAAATGTTTGTAGACAAAGTATAACACAAATGTTGAAAAGAAGCGGGCGGAACTAGACTTGACTCAAGAAGATGACATCGATTCTGATGTGGAAGATGATGCCATCCTTGAGGCAGCAGGGGTGTACAATGGTCGGCTTCCATGCCTCGGGGCTGAGGGACAACGTATTTTGTACGCTCGCAGCGGCAGCGGAGCTTCATCATCTTCTCGATCTAGGCGAGGAGAGGATCCACGCATTGCCCAATTGCAGCGAGAATTGGAGGAGGAGCAGCGTGCATTTGAACAGCAACGGAAGAATGATGAAGAAACGAGGGCCCGGCTGGAAGCAATGGAACAGATCCTTGCTGGATATCAGCCTCCGCCTCAGCCTCATCCTCGGCCGTACATTATGCACGTTGAGCAGACTCCTCAGGTTCCGCACATGGGTAGTATGGGTTACCACTCTAACTCCGGTTATGGTGTCATGCCTGCAATAGGGTCGACATTCGGATCTCTGTCGTCTGATATGCTCAATTAGTTTCAGTCATCGGGTGGAGGCAACCGAGGAGGCAATCGAGGAAGCCACCGAGGAAGCAACCGAGGAGGCAACCGAGGCAGCCGAGGAAGTTCCCGACCCTTGGACATCGTGGATGCAGAAGAGGATCATCATCGTGACTATGATGATAATGATGATGAATATGATTATGATGATTGTAATTTTTATCACAATGGAGTCCGACGTACGGGCATGTAATTACATAATATTGTTTGACATTGTATGGATTTTGTTTTTATAATTCTGTCTGTAATAACATTTTTTATGTTTAAGATTGTATGGAATTTATTTTTATTCTAATTGCTTTAAAATAAAATTAAAATAATTTTTTATTTTTTTATAAAAAATTGTTTTTTTTAAATCAAAAACATTAGTCACGGACTAAATCCGTGACTACTTTTTAATCCGGAATAAATTCAATTTTCATTTTTTTTATTTTTTTATTTAAAATCGACTTTTTTAAAAAAAACAAAAACATTAGTCACGGACCAGATCCATGACTACATTTTATCCGGAATAAATTCAATTTTTTTAAATTTAACATAGTCACGGATACGTCCGTGACTACTTTAAAAATAAAAAAATTTAAATTAAACGTAGTCACGGACCCTGTCCGTGACTAACTCAAAAAAATTTAAATTAAAAGTAGTCACGGATCATGTCCGTGACTAACGTGCCGGAGGGCTTATTCCGGTCAAGATGTAGTCACGGATCGACGTTAGGGCTGCACATCAGGCGGGTTGGGTCGGATTTGCTATATTTTTTGGGCCTACCCAATTTGTTCGGGTTGGCTATAAACCAACCCGCGATATGCAATATAAGTTGTTAAACCATACACGAACGGGTCAGGTAGGGTCGGGTTTTTGAAAAAAAATCACACCGGGTTGCATCTTTAATGTGGGAAACTAATGTAACCAATTTGAAACTCGATCAACTTGTTTCCAAAACACACAAACAAATACAAGTATCTTTTTAAAAAACATTGGGTAATAGTATTAAAACATCCTTTCGTAAAGGAAGTTCATTTAGAAACAAATGTAAATATATAATAATCATCTAGTCAAAATGATACGTAGTAAATGTTTAATTATAATTCTAATATCATAAAGTCCTAGATAGAGCACCTTTGTCGTAGATTGAAGTTGCTCAAGAAAAATTGTAGCACAATAATAGCAAAATGAATAATATTAGTCGGGTCGGCTACGATTGGGTTTGAGATTTCAATTCCACAACCCTACCCATTAGGTGCGGGTTCGTACATATTTAACCTGTGAATACTTTTTTAAATTAAATATCCGATTAAATAGGGTCGAGTAGGGTTGGATCGGGCGGGTTATGCGGGTTCGGGTTATTCTTGTGCAGTCCTAATCGACGTACGTGACTAATCCGTGACTACACCTAGTCACGGCCAAAGTCCGTGACTACATTCTAGTCACGTGGAACTAGTCACTGAACTAGTCACGGACGAAGTCCGTGACTAAAAGTGTTAGTCACGGACTCACGAACTTTTTACACTACGGTCCGTGACTAAGTCCGTGACTACAGACGAATTTTTTTGTAGTGATATGGAATTGGACAGTCTGTTTAAAAGAGTAGTTGAATATATGTCATAATGGCATTTTAATGGGAGTACAAGTTAATGATTAAATCAATTTTTTGATCAAATGGAACTTGGCATCGAACTAAGCTTTAATTTTTATGCATGTCTGCTTCATTATTGAAGGATTTTGAAAAGTAAATTATGCTTTGAAGAGTTAATTAGATGAAATGCTCCAATGCCTACTGATAGCTGAGAAGCTTCACATATGTTTTCCATAAAGTTTTAATTACAAGTGGTTTCATTAATAGTTGGATTAGGCTTGTTTTAGATATTATTTTAGGATAGAACCATATAGTATTTTTATTAAAAACCATTGCTATAATTAAGAAAAAACTGAAGGTTGGGTTGAGCCTGAGCCCAATGCAGCTCACCCGTAAGTCCACCTCTGATTATATGTGATCATCATTAATACCATGTGAGAAATGTATTATCAATAAGTTCTAAGGTTCAAGAGAAAACAATATATATGAAATTCATCCCATGCAACACAAGGGTGAAATACCTAGTAAGTAATATAATTGCAAAAAATCTAAATTCATCATACTAATTAATTAAATTGCATTTCTCTGTGACTGGTGATCCAATGACCTCCCTCAGACAACTCCAATTTCACCATCCGCCCTAAAATGATCGGATAGTGAAAATATTTGAAAAATCAATACTTCTAAAGAAAGTTTCTAAAAACTCCAGAAGCAAAAGCAATATAGTTCATGAATGCTCTCCCATCATAGCAGGCTTGTAAGACATTCTGAATCCACCTCCTTCAGGATGTTGGATGTGTTTAGGATAGTAACGACAATTTAAATCACAACCAGAAAGCCCTGTCACAGTACCAGTTTTCCCTAAAATGCTGCAAAAACTACAGCGAAATTCAAGAAGATCATGATGTAAACATTTCAATTCCCCGAAAAAGAGCTTATTATCCTCCTCCACCGCAAGGGATTCACTGCTTTTATTTTTCGGCCTAGCAATGAAGTTGCAATTCATAGAAGAAGGATACGCAGCATCTGGTGAACTCGTATAAACACAGCCAAGTGCTTGAACAAGCTCATACTCCTCGTGAGGACCCTTTTAATACAATGAATCAATGAAGTAGTATACGGAGTATAAGATTTTAAGCTACTCCTTTCATTTGATTAATGATATTAGTAAATCAATTTCAACTAACTAACCTGTTCATCAATTTGCCTTCTCTCGTTGAAATCCGATAAGGCAGTCTGTGCAGCTCGAATGCTAGTCCTTTCATCGAGCAACCGAGTATGACAGTAAATTAGAGGGACAGCAGGTGCCAACCATCTCATGAATCTATCCATACGTCTGTCAAAATCAATACCCAGCCAAGAGGCAACGTTGATAAATTTATTTAATGCAATGAAGAAAAAGTAAGTTATTAATTAGAGATATAATCAGAGGGAGGCAAGCAAGACTATCCAAATACATACATATAATGACAAAATTAACTGAGGAAAAGGTACTAATAAACACAAATCAGTTCCCACAGGCCACACCATATATAGCTAGACTCCATTGAAGTTGAGGATAGATCGATTAAGGAAAATACGAGTAATTAATTAGAACAATTAAGGACCAATCAAATAATCCCTTACCATCTGGGGCCAACAAAGTACATGGAGAAAGATACATAAAAAAACACAGGACATGTATCGTGTTCCCTGAAATTGAAATTGAGAAGAAAACCCTAGCTAGCCACATACTCTTCTTTCTTCAATCTTTTTCGATGTGACTTTTCCTTCTTCAGATCTTTCAGCTTCTTCAGTTTCTTCGGTTTCTCCTTCTTCGCGTTGGAACGGCGATCTCCACCGTCAGAAGACACCATTTTTTAATTCGGGGCTCAGAAAACGCAATAAAATCGACGCAGTGACAGAAAGTGGGCGAGAGACGTCCGAATGAACGCAACAGGCACACGCGTGGCATCTTATTATTTATTCCGTGAAAAGACGATGCGCCTGGCCAGCCGCGGTTAATTCGGTTTCAGTTTATTGGGTTTGAGATATTCTACCAAATTAAAATCATTTGTGTTTCGATTTCGGGTTTAGTTCCGTTTCGGTTTGATTTGGTTTACCGGAGTGAAAATTATTAGATTCAATTAAGTTTGATTTGATTGGCTTCTTATGGTTTTTATTTATTTGATAAAGTTCTATATTTTAAAATTAGAAAATGAAAATAGTGGCCGATCGCATCTTCTTGTATTTATTATTTAACTAAAATGTAAAGAGAAATAAAAGATATAAAACGAAATAATAAAATATTATTAATTAACACTGAGTTTATCTTACTAAGAATGACATTAAAATGTCCAACATAAAATTATAAATGCAATTTGCTATAGTCATCGCCAATTTTTTTTAATGCAAGTAGAGTACAAAATATACACAGTAATAAATATGAATATGTCATATTAGCTAACTTTGTCACAATGAATGTATGAAATGTATAAAAGTTAAAATGATTTATGTTAAACATGTCTTTTCATATGTAAATTATTTATTTATATTCTAAAAATGAAGAGTGAAGATAAATACAAAGCATATTTATACGACGTATATATCACTAGTTGTTCGATGTTCGGTTCGGTTTACGATTTTTTATTTTTCTGTTTCAAATCAAACCAAACCAAATCATTCGATTTGAGAAAATTGTTACCAAACAGTTTATTTAAGTAAACCCAAACCAAACCAAACTATCAATTTTCGGTTTGGTTCAGTTCAGTTAAACCAAACCATTTTGCACAGCCCTACTCTTCACAGACTGAATTTTTTTTGAAAGTAAACTAGCATTCCATTAATTCAATTTATCATTCTCCAAATGGAGTATAATACAATCCGGTAGAAAATTAAAAATCGAACTCTCATCCGGCTCAGAAAAAGTATCCTTGCCAATGTATGAGTCACCATGTTCGCGGAGCGTTTACAATGAATAACTTCACAAATTGATTTTATTTCTCCCATTATATTTTAATGTTCAATTCAATACAAATACTTCATAAATGCTAATGTGACTACTTATATTTAAATATAAGTATACTTATCAATGTATACTTAAACATGAGTACAAATATATATATATGGGGGATTGTTCAAATACAAAGAATTCTTCCCATGCAAAGTGAGAATAAATCTTGTGCATTCATTTCCACATTTAATGGCTCAAAATGAGCCAAAAAAGCACTAAATTCGACCAAAAGCGCGGTGGCAATTTCGTAAATAAACCACATTTTTTCACCACTGCGAAAAAGTGCAAAAGAAACACGAAAAAGTGCAAGCGAAACATGAAAAAGTGCATATTTTCGCACTTTGCACGGGAAGAGGTCTTTTTATTTGAACTCTTCCCTATATATATGTATGTATATGTATATAGATAATATAGATATAGATATAGATATAGATAATATAGATATAGATATAGATATAGATATAGATATAGATATAGATATAGATATAGATATAGATATAGATATAGATATAGATATAGATATAGATATAGATATAGATATAGATTTAGGATCAAATGAGAACAATGCTTAACGTGAGAACATGAAAACACCACATTTACTCCAATATGATGCACTATGAGGCTCGTCCAATGCACATTTTCGTGTTCGGCATAGTATTTGTTGGAAAAATGTGTTAAAAATTGCATTAAATGGTCATTTTGGGGCAATTATTTGAGTGGGGTCCACTTCCGATTTGGGTCGGGTCAAAGTGGTTTCGGATTGTCCTTGTTAAGGGCTACAATTCGATATGTGGTACACTCAAAACGGATAACGGGTGAATGAGAAATTGATTCTCGAAGTTCACTCGTTGAAATGGAAAAACTGGGAAAATGATGGGTTTCTAGTGTGTTTTATCCCACACCGAAAAACTCAAGGGATTTTCACCCCCTTATAAAGGGAAACCTCTTTTAAGGAGTTAAGATTCCTAAGGGTAAAGGTTCTCTCTTACGTGAAGATGAGTTAGGCCCAGCCTTTATTTTCTATCGTTTATTTCCTTTTACATTTTATTTAAATAATTAATAAAAGAAGATGAGTTGAACTATTACTTTCATTTTCGAATTCTAAAATATAAGATCTTGATCAAATTATATTGAAATAAACTTAAGAAAATGAATCAAATCGAACTAAATTAAATCTAATACGTTTTAATTTGGTAAACAGAACTTCAAACCGAACTCAATCCAAACCGAAACACAAATGGTTTTAGTTTGGTACAAATTCTCCCAACCCTAATAAACCGAAACCGAACCGAAACCGAAGTGATGGAGTATATAGACTCGGACCCCCGAGTCTCACGATTATTGGGCCCGGACAGCGGCCCACGTACACTCAGCTGATAGCATTTTCATTATTGTACATTATTATTATTATTATTCAAGTGTTCTAGATTAGCCTTTTATATTATTATTCCATTTATGTAACCGGGTCTGTCAGATCCATATTAGAGGCCCAGACCCGGATATTCTTCTATATATACTTCGTTAGGGAGTTCTTGTAAACCTAATTCACAACTGATAATTCATACACAATATCATTTCTACTATTCATCTTCTTCTCCAATTATCTAGCTCAACTCTCCATCAATGGTGCTTTCATTGAGAGTTTGAGCAAATCAAGTGAGAAAACCTCCCCAAAACATCCAAAAATTCATCCCAAACACAAAAAATCTAGCAAAAACTGTTCTGGGAAAATCCAAAAAATGCAACAAATCTGGAATTTCAATCTGGAAAATCCTGCACACAAAAAAAACTCTAGAAAATCCAAGAATGAGTGGGAGTTGGTACAGCCGACGGGTGGTATCAACTGTAGTTCACCACCACTGCTGTGGAACTCACAGCCAGTGTTTTAGATCTTGGCTTCATTGCTATAGATCTCGCCTACAGCTGCTCCAGTTATAGACGACCCCAAGTATGAGCCTCTGCCATCTCCGTCTCAGTGCCTCTGTCCTACTCCTCTCTCCCAATCGCTCCGCCACCACGCCTGGACCGTTATAGTTCGACGGTCGCGGCCTTGGTTCACAACTGTCTCGTGGAGGTCGGAGCTCCCTTTCTCCTCTGCCTTACCAGTCTCCGTCGATCCCGTCAACGTTCCACACCTGAGTCAAAAGCACGGTTTTGTTTTCCCTTTGAGCCAGGCGTTACTCTATCCATTAAGGACGTCAAGACAGTTTTTTCGGCCGACAACGGCCTTAACCGCTGCCAGCCGCCAGGGTCTCACAGGTACTCCGCTTCTCTGGCGGCGAAAGCTACCAATCGCTTTTATGAACCACTGTGATAGAGGACCGGACAAGCGTGACGGTCGAGACCTTTTCCTCTCTAGCTGCCAGCAGCGACTCCATCTTCATCTCATCCCGGCAGCGGCTATATCCAGCTAGCCGTGACCAGGTCTGGTTTATCTTCTCAACATTTGGGGCGGACAGAACTCCTGGGCAAAAGCTAGGTCAGAATTAGTCAATGAGCCAAGATGCAATTTCTAAACGGGCCCCCTTAAATCAGCCCACTCTTAGAGGCCGTTTGGCAACCCCTCATTTTCGGCTTATCAGGTTTATCAGCCAATTTTTTTACCAAACACGTAAATTTTGCTTTCGCGCGTTGAATTGTGTAATAAGCCGAAAAAGTAAGGTTGAAGTTACTTTTCTGACGGTATTGGCTGAAGTTACTGTAGATAATCATTTTAGCTATTTTTACATATAATTTTTTCTTTATTTTATTAATAAAATATATTTTAAAAATATTTTTTCTTGTATCAGCATAATCAGCCAATCCAGCCACTTCAGTCAGAACTTCATAAATTTCAGCAGAATCAGCCAAAACAGCTGATTTTCGTGATGCCAAACGGGCTCTTAGAAGCTAAGTGCACTTTCTCTAGTTTTAATATAATTTGTCAAATTCACAAATTGATTCAAAAATGCAAAAAAAAAATATAAAATGAAATATTTTAATAACATAGCATCAAACTTCAATCTCGAGGGGCGAGTCATCCGTGAAAAGACCCGTAAATAGCGTCTAGCGGATCCCAGCTACGAACTTGAGTGACAAGTTGAGCTATATTATTAATTTACTATCATTATTTATTTTTAAATAGTGTGTATTTTTTTACATTGAAAAAATGGACTTATGAAATTCCGAGCACTCGCGTACACGGGAAGAGTGCTAAAATCTTGCACCACCGGGTCACGTCAAACGAGTGTGGATAGTAAGCTCCCAATCCAAATGTTATCTAATACATACTCTAGTTTCTATGTTTTGAATGAGTTATGTGTGCCCTCTAGCTATCGGAAATGAACTACAATCCCTCAGCGGTAGGTTCAATCCTTTATGCGTGCCACGCTCCAACTAAGCATAGAAACCTAGCTTGAGCTCCAGCTTGAAAATTTGAGGCCACTTAATGTAGGTCCAAATTCAATAGCAAATTACAAGCTCAAGAAATTATAACAATTTTTTTGAATGCATAGGTGCAACTAGATCATAACATCATACCGGCCCCTTAGCCGTCTCTCTTGGTCATCTTTATTTGATGGCTTGGACTTCATATAGGCCTCTCGGCCACATATCTCGATCATCTTTATTTGATGACCAGGACATCATAATATGGACGGTCGTTTGACCTATCTCTTAGTCGTCTTTATTTGATGACAAGGATTACCTATCATGCTGAGCTACGCACATATGAGGATCGATCTTGGTCATCCTCTTAGCAGATGTCGACGGTTGCAGTTATACGCCCAGGTCGAAGGGTTCACCTCTTTTGCTTCATTTTGGGGACATCTGATGTACTCTTTTTCCCTCATTAGGATTTTTTTCCACAAGATTTTTTCCTAGTGAGGTTTTTAACGAGGCATCTCCCCAACGTGGACAAAAGGTGTCGACCCTGGGTCCTTATTGAAGACATCACGAGATATGCACTACTCTACTCCTCTTCACCTCACTACATTCACCTCAAGGAGTGGGACTGGAAGAGCGGGGGACTTAGCGCCTCCGTTAGCCAAAGAAGCAGAAATTCAAAATTTTTCACGAAGTTTACTCATCAGACGATAGACCAGCACACAGTTCTAATCTCTTTCGCCCCGAGTACTCTCGACTCAGGGAGTGGGGGACTCCTGATGGAGTATATAGACTTGGACCCCCAGGTCTCACGACTATTGGGCCCAGACAGCGGCCCATGTACACTCAGCTGATAGCATTTTCATTATTGTACATTATTATTATTATTCAGGTGTTCTAGATTAGCCTTTTATATTATCAGTCCATTTATGTAACCGAGTCTGTCAGGGCCATATTAGAGGCCCTGACCCGGATATTCTTTTATATATACTCCCTTAGGGAGTTCTTGTAAACCTAATTCATAACTGATAATTCATACACAATATCATTTCTACTATTCATCTTCTTCTCCAATTATCTAGCTCAACTCTCCATCACGAAGAAAACCAAATCGTAAACCGATTTGCTCACCCCTACTTCCTAGGATGGAGATCACAGTCTTATGCAGCACGATCGGCCTCTTGGCTCCATCGTGTCTGGTTCACGATCAAGTTCGTCCATGCCTTTCAAGATAGGGACCATTGTCTTATGCAGCACGATCGGCCCATCAGCGCCATTGTGTCCGGTTCACGAGTGGGTTCACCCATGCCCTTCTTGGATGGGGATCACCGTCTTATGCAGCACGATCAGCCCATCAGCGCCATCATGTCTGCTTCATGGTTGGGTTTCGCCATGCCTTCCAAGGATGGAGACGACCGTCTTATGCAGCACAATCGGCCTATCAGCGCCATCGTGTCCAATTCACGGTCGGGCTCGCCCATGCCCTTCCAGGATGGAGACTGTGGCTTTATGTCGGACGATCGGCCCCTCAGCTCCATCGCGCCCAGTTCACGGTCAGGATCATCCATGCCCTTCTAGGATCGAGACCGTGGCTTTATGCAGGACGATCGACCCCTCAGCGCCATCGGGTCCAGTTCACGATCGAGTTCGCTCTTGCCTTCCCAGGATGGGGACCACCATCTTATGCATCACGATTGGCCCCTCAGCGCTATCGTGTCTGGTTCACGGTCGGGTTCGCTCATGCCTTTCCAGGATGGGGACTTCCATCTTATGCAGCACGATCGGCCCGTCACCGCTATCGTGTCCAGATCATGGTCGGGTTGGCCCATGCCCTTCCAGGATGGGGACCACCGTCTTATGCAACACGATCGACCCGTTAGCGCCATTGTGTCCTGTTCACGGTCGGGTTTGCCAATGCTTTATAGGATGGTGTAAGGAATAATTGTATTTACATTTTGATGATGCTAGACTGATTAGAATATTAGAGTACCCCCATTAGAATTTTGTATTAGAATTGTTTTCTAAGTGTAAGCACTTTAGTATAGTCGACTAGACAAAACACCACTAGGTCCTGTTAGCCTCTGTCCTGATAGAAGTGCTCGAGTCCCTCTTTGACTGCCCCTCTGTTCAAGCACACCATAAGTCCTCACACTTAGCTACTTCCCAAGCTACCTAAGCCGGTTAAACCAACGGGATATTCCCTAACGGCTAGGAGCTCCTCAATGGAAAAGCTACAGGACATAGCATTTAATGAGCTCCATTCGCTAGAATACTAAAGCTGATGATTGACCGAGATTCCTGGAGAATATCTTTCCAGTATAGCAAGTCACAAGTCTTGGGGGTCCAGCCGGTCAACTCTACAGTACGCGCATTTAATGCAGTTGTATCCCTCCTCAAACGGGAAGATAACCCTAGTATATATGATATAACACGAAGAACAACCGGATAACTTTTCCTCTCTCTACAAAATTCAAACAAGCTTTCTTGAGATCTCAACTTCATCTTCCTCAACAAGAAAAGCTCTACGTTGGAAAGATAATATTTTCACATCTTCATATTCCAACAAAGAGCAAAGTTTCTCCAGTTCTTCAGCACTTCAAACACCTCATCTACACAATTTTTGTGAGGAAGCAAGTTGGAGAAACCTCTGTTTTTACAAAGCAATCTTCTTATCAAAGAAGAACGTCCAAAGTAACTGGAGTAGTGAAGTGGGGATACTTCAAGGAAACTCAGCGAAAGGACCAGTCTTAAACGAAGCAAGGAAGTGAATCCCAGGAGACATCTACACTTGAAGGAGATGTGGAGAGCTTCTTAAGTGCTAGGACTAAAGCTGTGTAATATGTGCTTTTACAAGCTTAGTGGAACAGTGGATTAGAGAAACACGTTGTTCCTTGAACCACTATAAAAATCTATGGTGTCATTTACTTACTGCTCTTAATACTTGCATTTACTTTCAACTGATTAACACAAAAGATTTGGTCTCTGTGTTCAGCAGATTTCGTCTTGTGAGTTAACAGAAGGCCTACTGCCTTTGCATCTCTTTGAGGCTAACCGGATAGAACCCCTACCAGAAGACTATCCGGTGCTAGTTTGTTACTCAACAGAACAATCTATCCTGTTAAAACTGGTACTTAGCTTTTAAAAGTTAAAAACCAGTACAGTCTATTCACCCCCCCCCCTCTAGACTATACCTTGTATAACCGGGACCAACAAGTGATATCAGAGCCTCATTGTTCTTGTAATCTTTTAGGTTACTTGCTGAACAAAGATTCACTTGTTCTTAGCCTCCTTACATTCTTTTGCTATGGATCACTCTCTTTCCAAGAATCTTATGTTTTTAGATCTTAAGTTTGATGACTGGAGGATCCGGATGAAGGCACATCTATGTGCTCTTCATGATGAGATGTGGGAAGTTCTTGACCTAGGGCCATTCACCAACTTCCAGAAGGTGAATCCTGAACATGCTGTTAATAACACAAAGCCCTAAATGATTGACAAAGCCAAATCTGAGTGGACCACTGAGGAAAGAAGAAAGTACAACCTTGACAACATAGCAAAGGACACTCTACAAGTCCATTTTTGATAGGTACTTCAGAAGGATCAAGAAGTGCAAAACTGCCAAGGAAATATGGGATACTCTTGATCTCATAGGAGCTGGTGATGAGCAAGAGAAGGACAATAAAATGACCATAGCCAACACGAAGTTTGATGACTTCAAACTTCTCCCTGGTGAAAGCATCTCCAAGATGTATGACAGACTTCTCACTCTCACTGGAGAGATTTCTGAACTTGGCAAAGAACTCACCACCAAGGAGATCAACCTCAAAGTGCTGAGAGGTCTGCCCTCAGCATAGAAGATGAAGGTAGTTACTGTTCAAGCAAGCAAGGATGTGAAGATCTATCCAACAGACAAGCTCATCTCAGATCTCAAAGCTCATGAGTTTGAGATGATTGAAGAGAAGGAAGATGTACCAGAATAGAGGACTACCACAGCTCTCACAGTCAGTACACCTAAGGTAAATGATTTTGACCCTTCTGTATTATTATCTGACGAATATATGGTTGCCTTTTCCAGAAAGTTCAAGAAGTTTATGAAGAAACCCAAAGATGGAAGGAATCCATCTGCCAGCAGAAAGCCATTTCAGAAGACCAAGTCTTCTGACAGCAGTGGAGAGCTCCTCTGCTACAACTGCAGGCAACCTGTACAATTCAAAGCAAGCTGTCCACATCCCATAGTGTCCAAGAGAAAAGGACAGGATGGAAAAAAGAAGTATGAAGATAGTGGTAGAAGAAGGAAGGCATTCATCACAGAACATTTGAGAAGGACCCCCTCTCTGAGACAGAATCCAGTTCTGACTCTGAATCTGATGAAGCCTTCTGTTGCCTTGATACTGAAACAGAAGACCTTTGCCTCATGGCTCAATCCGATGATGAGGTAACTTCCTCTTCTAAGTCTCGTTCTTCTTCGGTAGGCACATCTTTAAATGATGACCCAATGTTATCATTTTGGGAAGAGTTTAGAAATATCCAAGCCACTTATTCTTTAGTCAAAGAAGAAAGCAGTAAGCTAAAAGTTGAAATCTCTGACTTAAGAAAAGAGACTGAGGTAAAACTTAATCTCTTAATTAAGGAAAGGGATAAACTAGAGGCTAAAAATGTTTCTCTTCTTGATAGGATAAGAGAATCTCAGCATTTTGAGGTCAGACTCAATAGCGTTCTGAAAAATGCAAACTTCTGTAAAGGCTGTTGATGTTGATCAAATGTTCTCCCCTATTTTTGGTCTTGGATATGTTGCAACAGAGTCCGGTGAGCCTTCTGTAAGGCCTAGCACCCAAGTTGCTAAGGCTGATAAGGTCATAAAGCCACGGACCTCTAGCCTCATTTGCCATGTTGGTGTATCTGGCACCAAGGTTGTTCATGAGGAAGTCAGACCAGAAAGATAAAGGTTCAACAAAAATTAGTTTTAAAAAATAATGAACCTGGCAGAAACCCTAACAACAGAAAGGTTTTTTAGAAAAATAATCAAAGACAAACCTTCAACAGACACCCTCATGATAATCGTGCTAGAAAGGATCACCATAAGGGCATGTATCAAGAGAATGTTAACTTTAGGCAGAAGAGGTTGGCTGGTCAACTTCAGAAGCCCAAAGCTAGCCGCCCCTCTGCTCTTGATAGTATATGGGACTTCTTCCCAACCAAGAAATCTATGCATAAGTATGTAAACAGGCAGCATGACCCTCACAAGCATCTGCCCAAAGTGAATCACACTTCTGTCTACTAAGACTACCAGGTGGACAATGGGTACCACCCATCAAGATTTCACTTGATGAGATCAAAGTGGTACCGGCTGCCAAGACTCAATGACCCCCTAGGACCCAACATTTCTTGGGTACCTAAATCTTCCTTTTGATTGTGTAGGAACAGTGTGTTGGAGCCATCCCAGAGCATGAAGGGTTTATTGATAGTGGATGCTCCAGGCACATGACAAGTGACAGAAGTTGCCTAACAGAGTTCCAGAAAATAAATGGACCTAGAGTTACCTTTGGTAGAAATAACAAGGAAGGTCAAACAAAAGGAAAAGGGAAGCTGATCAAGGACCAGATAATCATTGATGATGTCTCATATGTCAAAGGTCTGAAATTCAATCTACTGAGTGCTAGCCAGTTCTGTGACAAGGGCTACACAGTTGAATTCACAAAGGACTTATGTTATGTAAAGCATGAGACAACAAAAGAAGTGGTTCTTACAGCAAGAAGGAAAAAGAACATTTATGTTGTTGATTGGAAAACTGCAAAAGATGGAGTTTGCCTGATAGCCAAAGGAGATTCAAAACTAAGCTGGGATTTGCACAAGAAGCTTAGCCATTTGAATTTCAAAACAATCAACAAACCGACAAGAGAACATATTGTAGATGGACTGCCAGACATGGTGTACAAGAAAGAGACCCTCTACAGTGCTTGCGAGAAGAGAAAACAAGTGAAGAAATCTTTCAAACCTATTGCTGGAAATCTTTCCACTAGTCCTTTAAATCTCATCCATATGGATTTATTTGGACCAGTTGAGACTCCAAGTGTTGGTGGAAAGAAATACACACTAGTCATGGTTGATGACTACTCTAGATATACATGGACAGTCTTCTTGAAAAAGAAGAATGAAACACTACTTCAGAAGTTGCCATCTCTGCTGAAGCAACTTCAAACTGAAAAGAATATGAAAGTCAGGACAATCCGATCTGACAGAGGAACTGAGTCTGTGAACCAAGTCATTAAGGACTTCTGTGATCAAGATGGAACTTTTCATCAACTCTCTGCTACCAGAACACCTCAACAGAATGGCGTAGCAGAAAGAAGGAACAGAACACTGAAGGAAGCTGCAAGGACAATGATTGCTGAATCAGGACTACCAATGACATACTGGGCTGAAGCAATCAACACTGCATGCTACACCCAGAACAGAAGTATGACCAACAAGAATCTCCAGAAGACTCCTTATCAACTGTGGAAAGGAAAGAAACCCAACATCAGCTATTTCCACATATTTGGATGCAAATGCTACATTCTCAACAATGGAAAAGAGCATTTAAAGGTCTTTCAGGAGAAAGATGATGAAGGTGTATTCATAGGCTACTCAAGTACAAGCAAAGCCTATAGGGTACTCAACAGAAGGACTCTACATTGTTGAGGAATCTATACATGTGAAGTTTGATGATAACACCTCTGTTGAAGAAATAACAGAGACCCTGAAGGAAGTCAACCTAGAGGGCAAAATTTCTCGACCAACATAAGAGGTAACAATTAACCCTTTGTTTCCAACACCTGCACCCAACCCTCTTCTGTTAGACAAAGATGAAGAATCAGAAGATGGGTAACCAGAGAAACCTAGACATCAACTGACAGAACCTGACCTAACTTGGTTAAGAGATCACCCACCAGACCAAGTGATTGGTCAGATCAAAAGTGGTGTGGAGAGCAGATCTGCTACAACCAGAAGAGAAGCAATGTTTGTCGGTTATATTTCTCAGATGGAACCTATGACTGTGGAAGAAGCTCTGCAAAATCCAGATCGGATCAATGCAATTCAAGAAAAGCTTACCCATTTTGAAAGGAACAAAGCGGGGAACTTGTTCCTAGACCAAAGCATCAGAATGTCA